AAAATCATTATTGTTAAAACCCTTTTTTTTTAAATAATGACCATCAAACATGGACTAAAATTCAAATTTAATTTAATTTTTATGATAAATAAATTGTGCGTTTCATTGCAATTAGTAGTGACTTCCTTTGCAAAACTTTGCAAGCATTGTCTGTATCACTAGGAATGATTATTCAATTACACGGTAATTAAATTATTATTATTATTATTTTTAGAATTTGAAACCATTTTCATCATAATATTTGAATTTTGCAACTAATCACATAATGAATTTGTCTGTTATTAAATAAAATTAAATCTAAATTTTAACAACAAATTTTAAATAAGGGGTTGTTTGAGCCCAATTTTTCTCAAAAAATGCATTTTGAAATAGTGTTATGATCGAGAACATGTGGTTAAAAAATAAGTAAAAATTTTGGATTTATGTGTAATATTATTTTATTGAAAAATGTGTAGTTGAAATAATATCAAATCACTGTTGAAAAATATATTTTGTTGAAAAAATTGGGCTCAAATAAGGGCTAAATCCAAATTTATTGTGAGCCATAGAAGACGTTTTTTAGAGTTTTGTGGCAAGAACTTGACCATTCTTGCTAAGCTTTGAGGTGGTCGAATTTTGTCTGTTGAACTTTGAGATAATTGAATTTTGGCCACTATCGAGTCTTTAAATAACGATTTTTTTGGGAGAATGTGTGATTGAAAAGTTAGAAAAAAAATTGAATTTACATTTAAAATATTTTATAGTTTAGATGTGTGGTTAAATACAAATTTATAGTGACCAGTAGAAGACTTTTTTCAAAGTTTAGTAGTCAAAATTCGACCACCTCCAAGCTTAGAGAGCAATAGAAGACATTTTCAAAGTTTAATAGCCAAGATTCGACCATCTCAAAGTTTAACGGTGTGACGGGGTGTCACATTTACATTCTTTCAGTCACGTCATCAATTTCGTTAGATGTTTGAGATGAAAGTTATACTATTCTGTCCATGTTTGTTTCGCAAAATTTTTTGTAGATTATAAAGTATGAGCCTCACAAAATGCATGAATTTTGGATAATTAAAAATTTTTTTTAATATAGTTTATATAATCACACATAGTTCCTGTTTGAAGACTTTTTTTTATTAAAAAAAAAAAAAACTCATTTTATATAACACATTTATGAGATCCATAACCTTTATCAACTTATTAACCATATATTTATTATTTTTTATCAAAATTTACTAAATATCTATTTTTAACAAAATCGAACCAAATGCAGTGAGCTGCAAAGACGGTACATTAGGTATTGAATTATCTTTTGACTGAGAATTCTACGTACAACAACTTGGATGACGTAAAGAATTGCAATTTTCAGCCATCAATAAATAAAGGGTGCATGGACGAGAATTCAAAGCACACAACAATTAGTTGACGGATTTTATATGTGGGTTTGTTTGGCACAAATTGAGTCCCATCTGATTTAGTTAAAAAATTGATAAAAATTAAAATTAACAATTAATTTTAATTATATGGGATTCACAATTTTTATTAATTTTTCATTATACATTTCATCAACTTTTATCAAATTCTACTTAAAATCTGAATTTAAAAAAACCAAATAGGGCTAACTAACAGGTCCCAGAGTGAGTTTGAAAGAGTATTGTGGTGAGGTACCCAAATTGCGGTACAGTGGAAATAGACAAAACAGATTGCAATTTATCAGGATTGGTTTAGAGATGAGATCAAAGACACAGAAATGCGTGCGTTTCACCAACTTTTCTGCTAAAGAGTGAAGACCAGACCATACTGGTGGCAATATTATTATCATTAGAATAAAGCCACTTGTCCGAATTTAAAAACATGGAGAGAAGAGACATATTGATGTATCAGAAAATGATTGAATGTTTTTGTTTTAATTTTTCAAACTGTCCAATTATGTGTCGACACGTGTTTCATCTGGATTTGATCCTGGATATGTAGCATGATTGTTGTTGTTATTATTAATTTAGGAAATTTTCAGTCGACACTTTCGATTTATCATATTTGTGCGATCGGGTCTCAAGTGTTTCTTGACCTTCAACTATATCAATGAGTTATTGGACAAGTAGAACATAATCAGCGATAAAGTGGTCCGACACAAGATTATTTTGGTTAGGTTTTCTGATTTTGGGAAAAGTTTTACTCATCAATCAGTTGGCAAGAATTATGGGAATATGCACAACTCAACTACTTAATAATACAAATGTGTTGACAAATTTGAAAGAGCATGGTAATTTGGAATATTCATGGTTTAAAACATTAAGCACATGTTCGTTGAATTTTTTATTAAAAAAAATTATGAAATATGTAGTTAAAAATATGTGATTTTCTAAAAAAACGTGTTTACAAATTAATTGTTCACTTTAATTTAGATTAAAATTTTAATTTTAATTTCTATAAAAAAGGGACCAAGATTCTCATAATCACATGTTATGACAGTTATGCGCAATAACATGTAACATGGACATTATATAAATAAATATCTTTCATCATGGGAGGATAAACTCTCGTGGCATTAAAAGGTTAGGGGACATGAATGCCATAAATGAAAATTTGGGATATGGTTATCACACTTATTTTGTCCCTTCTTACTTTGAATTCTTTCAAAAATCCATTTTTCCTCGAACTCATTTTTAATCATATATTCTCTTAAAAAAAATAATTTTATACGTGCATCTATAATATTTTCTTATTTTATAACTATACATTTTTTAAAAATATTACTTTTCACAAAATTGATTTTCGAAAATCTACATCAAACGGGCACCATAGGATCCGAATCCCTGATGAATCTTACCGTTTAAGATATTCATCATTTTTCATACTCAAACAACGTTATTGACAGAAAAATTATTTTTAATTCTTATTTTATTTTCAATGTTAATATAGATTGCATAGAATAAAGAGTTTGATATGGAGAACTCACCGTACAAGAATTAACATCGATATGTTGTTTTATGAGGAATACAGACTAATGTTATTTTGTAATTAATATATTACTCATTAATTAATCATATGATCTATAGCTCGTTCCAAGAATATATACGATTTAGACGGTTTTTAATATATTCTTTAACCAAACCGTTTATAAGAATTTGACATATCTCAAACCTAAATCGAACCATTCCATAACCCAAAACAAGCCATTATAAAATCATTATTTTATTATTTTTAGTTCTTAAAGAGTAGCTCATGAATTTTTAAATACGTTAATTCTAAGTCAAGGAAATAAAACAATTATGTATCAATGACAAGCAAACTAAATGCCAAACAAAATGTTTACGAAGTGTTCTATATGGTACTGGGCTACACTACCATGAAGTATTATAATCACTTTCTACCAATATAAAGTTAAGAATTACGTTATTTACTATTGATTAGCACTCATCAATGTGGAAGTTGGATCATTACATTATTTTAAGGGAAAATTTCATATACAAGAGATTAAGTATAGGGCATTTCAAAAATAAGAAAATAAGTATCATATTTCAACAATTAGAAATTAGCCTAAAAATAAATACAAATATTAATATAATTTCATATGAAAAACAATCCTGAAAAAATAGGCTGAGATACCGTACAAGCGGGATTCTCCAAAAAAAGAATAAATCATCTCTCAAACTGATTCCAATAGCCAGAAGATCTGAAAATACATCCAAAAATTACCGCCGGCTCTTGCGGAAGTGACGGTGAAACCAATTTCTGGTCACAAATTGAAGTCGCAGGTCGTATTACATCGGATTAAAACACGGTGTCTCGAACAGTCACTGATTACATTATTCAGGTGTGTAATTACATTGATCAGGCGTGTAATTGCGATTTATTCATTATAATTTGTCATTTATTCACGTTAGACAAGCTTCAATTGATCAAAAATGTGATTTTTAACGGAACTGTGATTATGAATATCGAACATTGCTGTTCGAAACTGTTGTGACTGTTATGGAAAATATGTAACCCTGGATACAAGATATAACCTCATGTAGTCAATACGCATGGGTTTTTGTGTCTCGAAATGTGTGACGTGTGACATACTACATCTGTGTTTTATGACACTAATGCTCTTGTTTGAATCTAATCATATACAACAGATCTATACTTAGTTACCGTGACTGATTATTGCATGTAATTGTGATTTAATACGTACATGTGACCTGCATGTATTCAATATGTGACCATGACATTCAAGATACGACATGCGTTTGCTTTGACCTGTGATCATTTAACAGAATTGTGACCGACATGCAATTAACTGTGACCAATATACAAAAACTTGTGGCCACTCTTCAACTGCATGTGACAAATATGCAATGACCTGTGACCTCTTGTAAAAAAAATATGGGAAATAAAAATATGTGACCTGCATGTATTCAATACATGACAATGATACTTGAGATTCGAGATATGATTGTTGTAACATTTGACCATTAATGTAATTTTGACCCATATGCAATTAGATGTAACTATAATTGGATGTTAGGCTGATCATGTTTTTGCTAATTTTGCAAAAATGGGGTTAATTCACATGTGTCTGTTAAATGGATCACAAGTGTCACTGGTGTTAATTGATCGTAGTTGCGGGTATTTGAGACTTGTCGACACAGTTATGAAAGAGTTTAGCTTTGACCCAGCAAAAGTTGCTGTGACAATGAAATATGTCTTGAATAGTGATCTACCTCCAATAATAATCAAAAGTGACGAGAATGTCTTGTCTTACATGGTTTTGAAGGATATGAGTCGTGACCCTACCAAATATCCAATTCACATCGAGGTCACAACTACAGATATCGAAAAAACAACCTATTACGCTATTAGTTGATGTTCAATCAAATGAACATGGGTTTTCATTAACAGATATGTCATCAGACATATGTGGAGCAATAATAGATCCATCTAGTGACAATCTTGAGCATGAGATCACAGTTGTGGCAGTGGCAGATGCTAGGGAGGTAGAGTAAGGAAGAGTTTTTCGTAACAAGGAGATAATGAAATTGAGCTTGTCGTTTTATGCAATCCAAAACATGTTTGAGTACGTGGTTGTTCGGTCTGATAAGAAAGACTATCTCGTAAAATGTTCACGTGATGAGTGTAATTGGACATGTAGAGCATCAAAGTTAGCCAGAACAGATATGTTTAAAATTAGACACATTGTAGAAGGTCACATATGTGCTTCAAACATCGTACTCAGTACTCATAGGCAAGTAACAAAGACAGTTGTGTCAACCTGCATTAAGTACAAGTACACATCATCGCGCACCATATACACACCGAATGATATACGCAACAACATGCTGCATACATATGAAGTATCTTTGAATTATGTCAAAGCTTGGCAATCTCGAGAGGAAACTCTAAAAATGCTAAGGGGTGATCCAACTTATTCATTCAATAAGATACCAACCTTTTTTTTTGTGCTACAACAAACAAATCCTGGATCAGTCACAAGTCTAGAAATTGATGCTCACAATAGGTTTAAATATTGCTTCGTGGCACTAAGTGCATCTATACGAGGATGGAAACATTGTAGGCTAGTTGGTGTGGTTGATGGCACATATCTAAATAGACACTATTGTGGCACCTTATTCACGGCATGTACACAAGATGCAAATAACAGCATTTATGTACTTGCTTTCGGGATTGGGGATAACGAGAATGATAGCTCCTGGACATGGTTTTTTAGACAGTTGAGGAAAGAATATGGGGACAGAGACGGTTTGTGCTTGTGTCGGATTGTCACAACAGCATCAAAAAAGCGATTTAAAACGTGTATCCGGGAGCATGTTAGGGGATATGTTCGTACCATCTACTACAAAATCTAAAATCACGATACGGGAGATCAGGACAAAACATAACATAAGCATTCAATACAGTTTTTCGTGCCCACACACTGTTGGAATATGAATATTACATGCAACAACTCGGCTCGATTAATAAGAAGATAAGGGGTTATCTGGTACTATACTATACGTTGTCCTATGATGATATTCACATAAATACGTTTAACATGGTATTGTACACTAAATTATACACATTTCCATGTTTTTGTTTGTAGGACGAAGTTGGACCTGAGAGATGGTCACATTTCCACATGCCTTCAAACCGGTATTCCACAATGACATCGAATATTGTGGAGTCGGTTAATGCGGTCACAAAGTCTGCCAAGAACTACCCTATTCTAGCTTTGTTGGAGTCATTGAGACAAATTCTACAATCTTGGTTCTGCAGACACAAGGAAGACGCCCAAGGCACTTTTACAACCTTGTCAAGCAAGTATGAGAAGAAGATGAGGGAAATGAGCACAAATATGAGAAACTTGAGGGTAAACTTAATTACTGTGACCTAATGTATAATCTATGACTTACCTGAACTGATCTGTGACATGTGCTGTGACTTCTGCTGTGATCTGTACCATTGTGTTTCAGTAATATTTGTGCAATATTATATATAACTACATGACATGCAATTTCATCTGTGTCCTACTTTTTAATTACGTGACTTATTATGCCTATAACTTGAGTCTATATCTGTAGGTTTTCCCTATTAATCAGGCAATGTTCTCAGTTAGAGGTGAACGTTCCCCTTTCATTGTTGATATAGAAAATCGGACATGCACATGTAGGATGTTTCAAGTTGATCAACTACCTTGTCCACATGCTTTGGCTGTGTTTGCGAGTATGAAGATGGATCCATATGAATACTGTTACTACTACTACACAAGTGAAGCATTCAGAAATACATACCAAGAAACCATTTTTCCTGTAGGAAATCCAGCTGAATGGATAGTGCCAAATGATGTCCATGACATAGTTGTAATTGCACCTAATCAAAAGCGAAGTTGTAGAAGACCTACTGAGAAGATATTCAGACCAGAGTATGAGGAAAACATAACCGTCAAATGTGGTCGATGTGGTGAAAGTGATCACAATCGTAGAACATGCAGCAGCTTAGTTCCGTTAAGTCAAAGCAATAAGAATAAAGAGAGGAAGAGGACGAAGACTGGAAATACACATTGATATATTTTTTATAATTCCCTCGTTTTTTCATTCATTGATTTTTTTGTAAATGTAGGATGCACAACATTGGATGACACATATTGACCATATCATAACCAATACAATGCTAAGATTTTTTGCAATGCACTTTGGAAGTTCGGCAAGAATGTGTGACCACTAGCACATATGAGAAACTCAACGTATGAGAGACTCAACGAATGTGTCACACATGAAAATCTGTAGGAAAAATTGATATACAATCATCATGCAGTGAACTGTGACCAACATGGAATTAGCTGTGACCAATATGAAATGATCTGTGATCATTCTTCAATAACCTGTGACTAGTATGCAGTAACTATGATCATTATTAATCACATGTGACCAGAATGCAGTGACTTGTGACCAATATATAATGATCTGTGACCAGAATGCAGTGACCTGTGAGCCCTATGCAATCAACTATGAATATATGAAAATGATCTGTGACTAGACGTCAATGAACTGTGACCAATATGCAGAGACCTGTGACCATTTATCAAGACATGTGACCAGGATGAAGTGACATATGATCAATATTCAATGACATGTGACAAATATGCGTTAAACTGTGACCAACAAAAGATGACCAGTGACATATTGCAAAGACTCAGGGAAATGGAGGTGGTTCAGTTGCAATTAGCTGTGACAAAAATATGAAATGATCTGTGACAAATCTTCAATGACCTGTGACCAGATTGGATTGACTTGTGATAATTCTTCATGACCTGTGAACACAACACAGTTACCTGTGACCAATATACAATGACCTGTGACCAGGGTGCAGTGACCTGTGACAATGGGAATTGGCATGCGACCAAATTACAATAACCAGTGACCTGTGAACTGCAGATAATCCTAAAAACTGGTGACCTGTGATAATCCTAAAAACTGCAAATAACCAGTGACCTGTGACCAGGGTGCAGTGACATGTGACAATGGGAATTGACCTGTGACCAAATTACAGTAACCAGTGACCTGCGAACTGCAGATAATCCTAAAAACTGGTGACCTGTGATAATCCTAAAAACTACAGATAACCAGTGACCTGTGACTAGGGTAGAATGACATGTGACAATGGGAATTGACCTGTGACCAAATTATAATAACCAGTGTGACTTGTGAACTGCAGATAATCTTAAAAATTGGAATGGGTCAATTCCAGTGTCGGTAAATCGATAAACATGTCTACCACCTGTGCTAATAACATGACACAATGGCAAAAATTTGTGCATTAAATTTTGAGACTTTCTCCTTGATACATTGTCAATATAGCAAAATATGATATATAGTGACACTTCTGAAAAACAATGTAATAAAGTCCCTAAACACTAATGAACTTTTTGATATAAACAGACAAAAGTAAGAACTGCGTTGTCAATACAAACGAATTTCCAAACACAAGAAAATGTTTCCATCTATTACAACATGTGACTTCTAATTGTACTATCACTCTAAAACAATGCTTTCCCCGCCAGTAGGCTGCGTCGTCTTTCTAGCCTTCCCGATTTCGCGATGTTTGAACAACAATGAAGCTACATCCAACCAAGCTTTCCCGGCATCAAACTTCATGGGCATGGATCCTATATCGTCATGTAGCATGTACTTCGCATACTTGACCACGTAAATGCCACAATCATGTCTAGGAACGCAAAAATCATACTGTTAGCTATGAAATCCAGCATGTTATAATATGTTTAACTATAAGTGGAGGGAAAAAAACTTACCCATTTTTCTGTTCGGAAAGAGAGAAATCAAAATCCACATTCAACTCCATGGAATCTTTTTTCCATATTCCAACACATTTCATGAGATGCGGAAGCATGCTGACAAAGGATTCAATTCCAGTACGGACTTTGATATCATTGTATGTCTTTCTGGACGAATTCAATAAACGCAACGTATGTGCCTTTATGTCCAACACTCCAAGCATCCAATGTGTTTTGTTGGTAGGCAGAAGTGGGATAAACATAAGGTCGACTTCAGCCCATAGAGTGCTCAATGGAATTCGTGCACCGGTAATGTCATCAATCAGTCTATCATTTGTGACAAGAACATTTGCATCATCCTTGAACCTAGGATACATGTGCTTGAGCTTGGCCTGGAACAACGAGTCCATTGTGGTAGCTACAAATTTGAGATCTCTCGCACTTTTTGGCACTTGACGTATGTAGTAGACGCACACATCCATATGCTACAGAGATGAAAGTACAATAAACAATTAAGGAACCATATATACACCAGAAAACATGATACAATAAGCTGTTAATTTGATCTGTGACTCGGTTAGAATGTGTGATCAATACAACCTGTAGTTAGTCAATACAACATGTAGTTAGTGACCATTCAATAACTGAACCCAGATGTAATAAATACATGTGAGCTATACTGTTGCACCTGCAGATATGTGTTTTTCCGTGCAGCACGGATTGTCACCTACTGTTCGCGTGATTTGTGACCCATGCATCAGCTGTGACCTACTGTTCGCGTGATCTGTGACCCATGCATCATCTGTGACCTACTGCTCGTGTGATCTGTGACCAATGCTCTGTGTGACTAGTATACAAAAACCTGTGACTAATGTGACCTATACTATGACATGCTCTTTAGAACTGTTACTTTTGTGTAGTAACTTATTGAACTAGTCAACGTTACCTCCCTGGATACAAGTTCGTACCACCATGTCTTGTTTCCCACCAAGTACTGACAGATGGAAAAAGGTGGACAGATGGCACCATCTTTATCATTGAACTTCTTCCTGCAAACGAGATGTACGGATCATTATTTGGAAAATTATGAAAATAGGACAACAATTTCGTACTTGTTATGCGGTTTTTATCCTCTTTGAAACCAATTTTGAAAGTCAGCAACATCTGCATCTTGTACAATCTGATTGTAGTGTTCGAAGACCACTACGTTTCCTAACGATTTCATTTGTTTCATTTCGTCGGCAACATAAGGGGACTCAAGTGTTTTAGCTGGCTTTGGAGCCCTCTTCACCGGCAATCCAGAACTTGGTGCGGCCTCAGGTGAGTGCTACGTAATAAAATGTGTTTTTTAATATGTGACATGCATTAATCAACAAATACATAGATTTTTTGATACCTCTTGGTCAATACATTCCGTGTCCTTCAAAACATTGGATATGACCAATTCCACTTGCATTTCAACTTCCATAGATGTTTTTGCAACAATCTGGCTTGGTTGTGTAAATTCAAGACCGAGATCAAAAGATGGAGGTTCAATAGAACATGGAAATTCAATTGCGCACGCAGAGTCAACTTTCGCTTTGCCTTTCGAATCAACACTTTTTTCAACTTTTGCAACCTGAAAATCAGAACAAAAATACATTTGATGAGAAGTGTATATCAAATGGTTTGTGCTAACAGACAAATAAGAGGCAGTCACAGTTGGAATACTGACTTCGCATGTTGGTCCAGATCCTACAACAGTTTCTAGTCCTGAGTTCTCTCTGAATTTTTTCATAATTTCTTCCATTGAACTAGATATCAATGTAGTCACAGAATTAGACATACACTGCATGTGTGCTTTGATGTCCAACATGTCAGTATGGATTTCACCTTGCATGCGAACAAGCAGCTTCAATTCCTTTGCTGACCAGACTTCAAAGATGACACTTGTGACTGCATTGCCTGAAGCTGTTTGCTTAGCAACCGATTCTCAGACTAGGGTTCAGATATCCGTCCTTTGAAATAATTGATCAATTCGTCGATCACCTGCATCACATGAATACCTATAATCAGGTTACTTATAATGATGAAATATAACATTGATCTGTGATCAGCAGTGAAACATGTATTGGTATGTGACCTAATAACTGAAACTTGTGACCTAAATTTTTATGTGACCAAATGGACTTGTGACATGATAGATGAAATTGGAAGAGTTTACATCTTTTGACGGCATATCCTCTGAATCAGTGGTGTCATCTAACTTACGCTCCCCCACTTGGAGAATCTTCATGGATTGATGTCCCCTTCCAACTGGGTGGTGCGTCAACAAAGTCATCATCATCAATGGGGAGATCAGAGTGTCCCAATCGTCCATCAGTTATCAAAAGCATGGGAGTAGATTGTTTCATTCCTGAATTACTTGGTTTTGTACTAGTCCCAGCACGATGATCTGATCGGTGTATGCTACCACCCTTTCTCTTCTCCCCATGTGACCGATCGGGTAGGACAGGTTTCTCATACTGCACTTGAACCATGTATGGCATTGCCATTTCAGCTGGTGGAAGGTCCAGGTCACATATTTCCAACTGCCATTCATATCACAACAAAAAGTGCAATGTCAACAATCAAAAATTATGTATGAACAAACAGATATAATTTTGCACATCACACATATTCAATATGTTTCCATTAATTGCGATATAACAAAGGTAAATGGCGCCGTGAAAATGTCTGTGACCTATACTGAAAATGTGTGACATAATGAATAAATCTGTGACTTCGTGAATGCAATTTGTGACTTGACGAAATATATTTGTGACCTGAGAAATATGATCTGGAACATGAAAAAAATGTGCAAGTTTAATATTTCGAAACCAGTACTGCTGCATCAGTGGTCACTTACGTTCGGATTGGAGAAGCATTCAGGTCCCTCGAGCTTCGTAGCCGAAGGGTGATCATCAGCCGCCCAGTTCATTATCCTGGGGTATCTCTGGAAATCCTTCTCACTGTGTATCCATCGAGACTGGGAATTGTTTCGTAAATTCACACTTGAAAGGCTACAAGCAAGCCTCTGAGTCTGTAATGTGTTGATCTCTTACTCAACCCCTCCCTCAATGAATTTACTAGTGTGTCAAACAGCGAATTACCCCATGGAAACACATTCATCGCACTAAAATCTTCAACTAGTACAAATAAGAAGTGATCCACAGCCTTCTTGTAGTCTCTTGGATGCAATGCACCTAGCATGGAAACATCTCATCCGGAATGTCAGTAGAACCAAGAAATGCG